ATCCATTCCTGATACACATTTGCTTGCTCATAGTCATGTAACCCCGCTTACCCCGGTAAATTCATCTAACTTTCATATTGGTCGCTCCATAGACAGATGGCCAGGCGTATTTGGAAATTCCGACCTCGACGAGCATCTGTGGTAGAAAACCACCCCTTTGGTAGGGGAAACTACTGCTGTCTGCTACCATTTGCACTACATGTGTCGCTATAGCTGCGACATCTATGCATATTAAATCACGACGTGTGTGTGCGGTGGCCGGTGATTCTTGGGTGATTCTAGTTAGCGATTAGCTAGGGCAGCAGGGTGGATCCAGACTTTCAGTTTGAGGGTGGGCGGACTCTTGGCCGGCCTGATCCCCGGCAGTCAAAGTTGCTGAGCGGGGGCCCGGGGGGGGGGAAGGAAGGTCCAATATAATGACCCAAAAGACATGCCTATTGCCCATAGGTATACATACACGTATGTATTGAATGGTATCAGCACTCAGCAGTGTGCCTCCTGAGATGTTAGTGATTTTTATCGATTCATCAAGTTGACGATTTTTTTGTGGATATCTTAAAAACGGCAGCGCTCCGCGTCGGTGTTTTTTAACTTATTTAATAACCTTTAGCTTTAACTTTACCACTACCAATACAAACCATTACCAATACATACTATATATGCCTATAGGCAATAGGTGTGGCATATCATATTGGACCTTTCTCCCCCCCCCCCGTTCAGCAACCGCGGACTGCCAGGGATCGGGCCGGCCATGAGTTACCCCACGCCCACCCTTAACCAGGGATGCGGAGTCGTGGACATTTCAGACGGTTCCGACTCCGGCTCCGGCTCCGGGTGAAATGCCATGGCGGCTCCGGCTCCGGCTCCGGCTCCGAGTAAAATGGTCCGGCGGCTCCGGCTCCAATACTCAGTACATTTTAAATACCTACGGGTGGCAGAAAAAGAAGATGGGATTGGTGCACGCTGCTTCTGCATTTGCATAACTTAAGGCTATTTTCATATTTTGAATACCGTATTTCTTACTGCCTGGAACTGAAGTTCAAGGCAGTTCGGTTTGACAAACCGAACTAGGTCAATATTTGTTTCCTCTTCAAAAAAGGAGCCGGAGTCGCCCCCTTTTTTGACAGCTCCGGCTCTGGCTCCGGCTCCGAACTATATTATTTCACAGCTTCGGCTCCGGCTCCGGCTCCGCACCCCGGCCCTGCCTCAAACCGAAAGTCTGGATCCACCCTGGTGCCCTAGCTAATCGCTTACTAGAATCAGCGCACACAGATGTCGTGGTTTACATGTATTTGCATAGATGTTGCAGCGATAGCGACACATGCAGTGCAAATGGTAGCAGACAGCAGTAGTTTCCCCTACCAAAGTGGTGGTTTTCTACCACAGACGCTCGTCAAGGTCGGAAATTCCAAATACGCGATGGCCAGAGATATCAACTTAAAAGGCCATTGTTGCATTCATTTAGTGGAGATCATTAAAGAGCCGTGATAGGCCACAAGTCGCGTGACATCATACGCGTAACAACCAATGACGTCGGCCTGCAAAACCCAATGGAAGCGGCTAGCAGCGTGCAATAAAACAGGGCGCTGCTTTCTAAATGTCTGTCGTGCGCCATAATTGAATATATTCTTTGTAGCGTGGCAACTCAGTATCTTTGTTAACTATTGTACTAGTATTTAATAACTTCATGATTTTATAATTGTGCTTACGCTTTATGTTGATATTAGTGATAAATCCTTAGATGAAGTAAACCGATGTGATATTTAATAGAAAGATAGCAAACTAACGCACCATTCATTCGAAAGCTGGGAAATCTACAAAAAAGAACTACTAAAATTCCTGAGGAACCAAAGGATCAAATTGGTATCAAATAGATGCCTGCTATTCCGTCGTGAAAACGGCCTTTATATATTACCCAGTTGAAAGCCGTGAAAACATCATTTAATCCACGTTTATTTTAACCCGCGCGGGGCTGGGGTCTCCAGCCGAACGCGCGGGGCTGGGGGGGGTAAATTTTACCCCCCCCCTGTTATCTCCCGAACTAATGGTCCGATTTGGAAAATTCAAAACGCCAATAGAAAGATTGGCACGAACAATTAAAAACATGTACTTAATTTAAAGTTTGAGGTCAAGGTCAAGGTCAAGTCAAGGGTACAAATTGCAAGTTCCTACAGTATCGGCCTTGCACCGTAGTTGCCGAAGAATGGAGTCATGGACTGAGACTGATTGCCCAAAACGTGTTCTTAGGCTACCAAGACAATATTCGTTGCATTCAATATCATTCAGAGGTCAAGGTCAAGGTCAGGTCAAGGTCAGGTCAGGTCAGGTGAGGTCAGGTCACCAAAAACAAAATATAGAAAAGGGCATGTGCGACACATGTTTTATGGGTCATTTTACTCATAGAATTCAATAGGCACACTCAATGAGTGATATGGACCACCTCTGGATGAATTTCAGGTCGAGGTCAGGTCAAGTAAGGTCAAATTTTGAAGTTGGTTGTTAAGGCCTAAAAAGGTGTCTATCTGATGCAGTTTTTCACGGCGAATCGAATGGTGCTATTTTTGTTTCCGTACAAGGTCTAGAACTTCCAAAAAAAATCATTTTTCATTTTTTTTTGTGTGTCGTAAAGTCATAAAATGTTTAATAACTCCCACATTTTTTAACCGATTCTTCTAAAAATTGGTATGTAGGTGCACATAGACCACTTCTCTGACATATATTCCGTTTTTTTTCGATACACTCAAAAGTTTGGATTTTATAATTATTTTTCCAAAAAAAGTCAGTTTTTTTAGAAAAATGTGGGCCAAAATCCAAAATTTTCAAAAAACCGAGATAGCCATTTGATAGACAAAGTAGAATTACGTATAAACTTTTTTGTTACGTCTTGATTCCCCTAAAAATGAAGATGTTAGCGGCGTTTGAAATTTTGCCGTTTTTGAGGCGAAAATGGCGAACATGACGTCACTAAAACGTCAATTTCTCAAATATATTCTGACGGATTTCGCTCAAATTTTCAGGGAACGTGTCAAATTAATGTAAGAAAAGGTACTAAAAGTTTGGCGGCGCTGCGCGCCGCCGTTTTGGAGATATTGCAAAAATTCTCAAGGGGGGGGGGAAAATTCACCACCCCCCACCCCCGCGCGGGTTAAGGCTGTATAAAACTGAGCAACGTTTACTGCACCCAATCCACCGTCTCTTACATTTTGGCATAAAACCTTTTGTGCTACTTTAAGGGGGGGTCCTTTTGTGCTGCTTATAACGAGCTACATATTGCTTTTTCAGGGTCCTTCTAGTTTCCCTACTTTCCGAGATAACCTGGTGTGGCCACAAATACATCATTGCAAAGTTGCCTGAGAGGACCAACCAGGCGGGGGTTAACCTTGCCCTGCTGGGGGGTGTTTGAACACCCCCCTTGTGGTTTTTCGCGAATGTCTCAAAAACGACGGCGCGGAGCGCCGCCGTTTTTGGTACACCTTACAATACAACAATTCTACACATGTTGTGGAAATTTCAGACCAAGGTCATTCAAGGTCAGGTCACCAGGTCACTTGAAGTAACCTCACCTCATAAAAAGTTTCAATGTCTGTCATAGCTACACCGAGTGACCGATCGCTTTGAAACTTTCAGCGATTGCTAAGAGAAATACCATATACAAAATGTTTATCTCAGAATTTTGATATCGATGACCTAAGGTCAGGTCAATTTTGCGACCTCCCCATTATAAGTCAATGGGAGAAAATTGAAATGCGCCTCTTTTGGACGAAAGACATTATAAACACTCCCAAACACTGAATTACAAGTTGTTTAGACACACTGAGCATGGAAATGGTGTCCGTGACCCCTGTTTATGCCCTGACGTCATCTTAGGTCACGAATGGTATCTAACAGTTTTCCGCAAATAAATTTTGATAGAGGCATGCTAGAGCGATGAAAACGCCTTAGATGTGTTCAGCTCGACGATACGGATCGACTGATATGCAACTTGACCCCTTCCGGTCAGGTAATGACCTTGACCTGAGGTCAAATTTTTAAGTTGACCTTTTAAGGTCAAGTTATAGTTCATTCGATGCGTCTTGACGAGAGGAACACGATGCCGGTAAAAATAAGCTTGTACAAGGCTTGGGTCAAAAGTTATTGCAGAAAAAACTGTTTCCGAAAAAAATCGGCCATTTTTGCAGTTTTTGCCCCCTGCAGGCAAAACCGTTGACGTTAGGCCAAATCTGAGAAAATTATTCAGAAAGGGCGTTAATGGCGCTATCGAATGCGTTTTTTCCGCGGCGCTGTAGCTCTATTGGTTCCCGAGTTATGCGTTGGCTTCTTGGAAATTGTCGACATTCGACCTGGAAATCGCCCAGTTCGACCCAGATCCGAACTGGGCGATGGAGCGGCTCCGCCCAGTTCCTCCACGAGATAGGGAGGAACCCGTCCGTGGACTGCCCACAGTGCCGCAGTCTCGGCTGTATCGCGGCCCGCTGCAGGCTCTGTGGAGAGGAAGCCGACACACCGAGACACATCCTCATGACATGCCCGGGGATGATGGGGGTCCGCCTCCGGACCCAGGCCATCGGCAACATACTGCCGACCCCAGAGGAGGTTCGGCGCAGCGATGCGGTGGCGGCCCTGGTGGCCGCCTTCAGGGCCCTCCAGAGCCACTAGGCTACACCGCCGCGGCTGCGGGGACCGACAACAACAACAACACCTGGAAATCGGCGAAATTTTGCCTTCAATGACCTCTGGTGACCTGACCTTTGACCTGACCAAAAAATTGACCGAAGTAATTTCCTCATTATTTTTGACGCTCTTTCGAACGCCGCCTTCCGCGTATCGCTACGTGGCCCAGGAGCCGAGTTAGAAGGGGGGTGTTCAAACACACCCCCCCCCCCAGCAGGGCGTGGAAATCCAGGACCCCCAGCCGGGCGCGGGTTAATCCCAGGTGTATGTATTTCTGACTTATCGCACTAATTTGGCTTTGACACTGTCAAGGATCTCCAATTACTTACTGATATACACCGCTCGCACCGCCTCCCAATCCCAAGGCTTGCTCCTTTTTGTACTTGATATCACCGACAGAGCTGAATCCTCCTTTCTGAACCTGAAGAAAAAGTATTGAAAATATGAGATCGATTTTTTTACAGCGCACACCAATTTAACCCTCGTCCGGCGAGGGGGGGGGGGTGATGCAACCCCCTTAAGATTTTTCGCAAATAACGTAAAAACGGCGGCGCATAGCCCACTGTGATAACCTTTTCGCACCTATCCTTAAAATTTGAAGTCCCAGTCTTTTCAGGTCAGGTCACCAGGTCACAAAAACCGGTACAAGGTCAGGGGAAAATTGGACTAGCTTAGCGGTAACTGAATTCTAGAGTTTACTTAACCCGCGCCCCGTAGGGCTATCGGCGGACCATACCACCCGTAGGGGGGGGGGGCGTTTCGCCCCCCTAAGATCTCGGAAATTTAACGCTCATTTTCAAAATTCAAACGGCGTTCGATAGCCCCACCGGAGAACTACCTTGTGACCAAATTTAATTGACCTAGGTCAAACCGATGACGTCACAGGTCAGGTCAAATGTCGGATTTTCACCGTTCACAGGCATTTCAAGAAATGTGTTGTGAAATTGAGTAAATTGGTAGGTTATTGAAAACCATCGATAGTACATTGTTCGTCAAACACATACCTACTTTGCTATCTGAGGTCACTGATACCAGGTCAAGTCACAGAGGTCAGGTTACTGGGAGTCACAATATGAAAGTGTCGTGTGATACATGTTTTATGCTCCATTTTGTATGACATATGCGATTATGTGGGTCAGACAGTCTTTGGGGCCAGCTTAGGTCACGTTTTGGTGAAGGTCAGGTCAAGGTGAGGTCAAATTAGGTCAAATTACAAAGTTGCTATTTTTGCATTACCCCCGCGCCCCAGTGGCGGTCTCAGCCAACTTCGCCCTAGTAGGGGGGGGGGGGGGCATATGTTACCACCCACCTCTAACTAAAAAACTAAGAGGGCTATAAAGACGCAGTAAAAAGCAGTCGATAGCTCTTAATGTGTACGTTTGAAAGTATTTCGGTCATTTTTGACCTTAGAGCAATATTGGGTTCACCAGAGGTCATCAAAGGTCAAAATTTGCCATTGTCATTATATTTTTCAGAAAACATGCCGCTATCTCAGGAACTATGGTAGCTAGAATAACGCATGGAAGAGCAATCGATAGCTTTTGAACTCTTCTTTTGAAAAAGTTATTATCAATATTGACCTCAGGTCAACGGTTTAGCCTCCAGAGGGCAAAAACTCCAAAAATAGCTGTTTTTACGAAAAGTGTTTTACGACAATAACTTTCGACTACAAAAAGCCACGACATTTCTATTGCCAGAATCGTGTTCCCCTCGCCGAGACGCGTCGAATGAACTTTAATTTGACCTTGAAAGGTCAACTTGAGAATTTGACCTCAGGTCAAGGTCATGACCTCACCGGAAAAAGGTCATGTTGCATATCAGTCGATGTGTCTCAACAAGGCAAACACAATGAGACCATTCCCAGCGTTCTATCTCTCTCCAATCGCGAGTTATTGGCAAAAAACTGTCTGTGGCCTCAAGTGACCTCGGATGATCTGTCTAGCGGCTATCAGCAAAAATGACACCTTGGTCATCACGAGTGGACTAAATCATTATGATTCTGAAATATTTGGACTGTTCCGATGCGTACACACGGATCTAGAGGCATTTTCATTTTTCTCCATTGACTTGTAATGGAAAGGTAACGCCACTGATCTGACCTTAGGTCACGGATATAAAAAATCCGAGATATACAAATTGTAGGCGCCCATAACAGCATGCAATCCACCAAGTTTAAATTCTTTTTGACAAACACTGCAGGCTGGACATGATTGCAAACTTTTTTTAGGCTTGGTCAGTTAACTTGACCTAGTGACCTGACCTTACATGACCTGGGGTCAAAAATTTCACACATTGTCCAAAATTAATGTACCAAAAGCTACCCGAAGCGGCGCGGCGCTACGCGCGGCGGTTTTTTATTCACACGCAAAAAAAAACGCGACAGGGTGGTAACATATGCCCCCCCCCCCCCACACTGGGGCGAAGGTTAACCCGCGCCCGGCTGGGGGTCCTGGATTTCCACGCCCTGCTGGGGGGTGTCTGAACACCCCCACCCCCCTTCTAACTCGGCTCCTGGGCCATGTAGCGATACGGGAAAGGCGGCGTTCGAAAGAGCGTCAAAAATAACGAGGAAATCACTTCGGTCAATTTTTTGGTCAGGTCAAAGGTCAGGTCACCAGAGGTCATTGAAGGCAAAATTTCGCCGATTTCCAGGTCGAATGTTGATAATTTCCAAGATGCCAACGCATAACTTGGGAACCAATAGAGCTACAGCGCCGCGGAAAAGCGCATTCGATAGCCCTATTAACGCCCTTTCTGAGCAATCCCCTCAGATTCGACCTAACGTCAACGGTTTTGCCTGCAGGGGGCAAAAACTGCAAAAATAGCCGATTTTTTCGGAAACAGTTTTTCTGTAATAACTTTTGACCCAAGCATTGCACGAGCTTACTTTTACCGGCATCGTGTTCCTTTCGTCAAGACGCATCGAATGAACTATAACTTGACCTTGAAAGATCAACTTGAAAATTTGACCTCAGGTCAAGGTCATGACCTGACCGGAAAGGGTCATGTTGCATATCAGTCGATCCGTATCGTCGAGCTGAACACATCTAATACGTTTTCATCGCTCTAGCATGCCTTTATCAAAAGTTATTTGCGAAAAACTGTTAGATACCTTTCGTGACCTAAGATGACCTCAGGGCATAAACAGGGGTCACGGACACCATTTTCATGTTCAGTGTGTCTAAACCACTTGTAATACAGTGTTTGGGAGTGTTTATAATGTCTTTCGTCCAAAAGAGGCGCATTTCAATTTTCTCCCATTGACTTATGTCGCGAATTACTTTGACATTTCCGATGATACGAACGAGTACGTTACGTTAGATCGTTTAAATCGATGTGTCAAAACGAGCGAATCGAAACGTATTTACCGGATCACTTCATAATGTATTCACACTCGCCAAATTCTATCGACCTCATTTTCGAAACTATCATTTCTACGCACATTCGTTGACCTCGGCACGTGACCTATAACAAATTCTGGCATAGGCTCGTGCGCCCATTTTCGGGGAGCCACAGAGTCGGCGACATCCTCCCCCCTCACTGCGGAAACGGTCGTTAACTACAAGCGCGCCGGCTACAAAATACAAAACATAGCACTAATCGCATGAGCGCATTCTACTAACACTGCGTTCGAACGTTGACCTTTGGACATCCTATTCCTCATCCGAGGCATCCAATACGCACAGTTTGACTACCGGTCGCACGTATGTGCCGCTCTTAGTCTTCAGCTCCACCGTTCTAACGCGACCGTCGGAACCGGGGAAGACCTTCACCACTCGTGCTAGCGGCCATCTTCCACGCGGCAGGTTGTTGTCGGTGACTAGCACAACGTCACCCACCTGAACTCGTCGGCTCTCTCGCGACCATTTGGTCCTCTTCATCAGGGTTGGCAGATACCAGGGTATATTGAGTGAAGGGTAGGACGAACTTTGGTAGGAATTTCTAGTATAACTACTAGAAAACCTACTATATGTGGTCGGGACTAGCAAAAACTTAGTTCAAACTAGAATATGGTAGCGCTTATGGTTGGCAGTCGTGACGCGCACGTGACATTCATTTATTAAATTTCTTAAACAACAGGCTTTAGAGGCCGATTAGTGGGCAGATACATTCAATTAGCTATTAATAATTGATTATGCAAACATTCAAGAATCTACATCATTCAATTCTAGCCGAAATCACGCGGCGCTCCCAGGATTCGAACTCACGACCCTCGGATCCGTAGCCCGATACGCTACCGACTGCGCTACCGAGGACCGCGCGCCGACGATCGGAGAGCCGGATCGCGGGTGCTGGCGTGCAGAGAAATCTTTACCCTGTACGCCGTAGAAGATCGGCTGGGTTTCGTGAAAAATGGTAGAGGAATTGTCGAAAGAAAATTCATCGATCTATCAATTGAGACTAATAACCATTGATTCCTTCAAAAGTTGACCGAGATATCGCTCGCCGAAAACAGGCCATTTAACATGTAAACCCTATGGGCTGGTAGGAAATGTACGCCGTGGAGCAGCAGTGCTACCAACTAACTTCGGCGGGGGCCGGGCAGATACTCTTTGTGCCAGCGTTTCCAAAAGTGCTCTGCAAGCTGCTGAGCATGACGCCATCGTCTCCGGAAACTCAGTTGTTCCCCAGAAAACATGCCTGGAGCGAGACTGGGAGAGTCGCGACCGAGAATCAAATGGTTCGAAGTCAAGGCCTCTGGATCATCTGCATCGGTGCTCACATACGTGAGCGGCCGACTGTTCAACATGAACTCGACCTCCATGAGAACAGTGCTGAGAACTTCATCTGTGACGAGCTGGTTGCCCAGGACGACGCGTAGTGCTCTTTTCACTGAAGACACCAGTCTCTCCCAGCATCCACCCATGTGAGGACTGCCAGGCGGGTTGAAGCTCCACTTGATGTTCTTCTGTGCCATCATGTTGCTTATTTGTTCGTTGTTCCAGTTTCTGAGAGCATCACGAAGCTCCTTATCGGCTCTCTTGAAACTTTTCCAGTTGTCACTGAATATCTGAGCTGGTTTCCCGCGCCGAGCGATAAAACGGCGGAGTGCTAGCAGGAAACTATCAGTGTCGAGAGACGGGGTGGTCTCCAAATGTAGCGCTCTTGACGCCAGACAGGTGATAAGCAAGACGTACCGACGCTCCGTTCTGCGGCCTACACGCACTTGGAGAGGACCGAAAAAATCCAGTCCGACTGAGCTGAAAGCGTGCTGAGAATCAAATCTCGCTTCAGGCAGGTCTCCCATCAGAGGGGCCTGGGGGCGGCTGCGCAGTTTCTTGCAAACGGCGCATCCTCGTAGGTATGACTTGATGGTGCTCCTCGCCTTCGGAATCCAATACACCTGCCGAAGCTCATTCAGCGTGTGGTCGACTCCCGAGTGAAGCACTTGACGGTGAACTGAAGTCACTATGAGCCGAGTAACCTCGTGTCGTCTTGGTAGGAGAGCCGGGTGCTTGGCTGAGAATGGAAGTTGACTTGCTTGCAGCCGGCCCCCGCCGAAGTTAGTTGGTAGCACTGCTGCTCCACGGCGTACATTTCCTACCAGCCCATAGGGTTTACATGTTAAATGGCCTGTTTTCAGCGAGCGATATCTCGGTCAACCTTTGAAGGAATCAATGGTTCTTAGTCTCAAATGATAGATCGATGAATTTTCTTTCGACAATTCCTCTACCATTTTTCACGAAACCCAGCCGATCTTCTACGGCGTACAGGGTAAAGATTTCTATGCACGCCAGCACCCGCGATCCGCCTCTCCGATCGTCGGCGCGCGGTCCTCGGTAGCGCAGTCGGTAGCGTATCAGGCTACGGATCCGAGGGTCGTGAGTTCGAATCCTGGGAGCGCCGCGTGATTTCGGCTAGAATCGAATGATGTAGATTCTTGAATGTTTGCATAATCAATTATGAATAGCTAATAGAATGTATCTGCCCACTAATCGGCCCCTAAAACCTGTTAATTTAGAAATTTAAGAAATGAATGTCACGTGCGCGTCACAACTGCCGACCATAAGCGCTACCATATTCTACTTTGAACTAACTTTTTGCTAGTCCCGACCACATATAGTAGGTTTTCTAGTAGATATACTAGAAATGCCTACCAAAGTTCGTCCTACCCGTCACTCAATATACCCTGGCTTGCAGCCGTCCTCCAACTCGAATGACTCCGCTTGAATCCAGCAGCGGCGTAAGCTGAAGCAGAGTGCTACTGACAGACACCGACTTCCCACGAGAGAGCAGGTCGATTTCCGACTTGAATGCGTCCTGCTGAGTTGCTTTGAGGATGTGGATTTCAGCGAGTCGCAGCTCCTCTGCAGACAGTGGTCCGTTGTTGCCACAGTCTCGATACTGAGCTGAGTGTCTGGCGATGAAGTTGCAGGCGAAGCGCAATACCCAGGCGGTAACACGCCTATAGCGGGTCCACGACGAGTGGCGAGCCGGGTCGACCAGCAGTGTCGGAACTGACTGTCCAACGGTCACGGAGCCCACCGTTTTGACTTCAGGATCGCTAGCACTTGGTTGGGCCGTTTTGGGAGCAGAAGGCCATTCAATTTCCGGTCTGTAGAGAAAGTTTGGACCCCGGAACCACCGGCTGTCAGAGTCGATCTCGGAAAGCGGCTGGCCTCTGGAGCATTCGTCTGCTGGGTTCAGGGAACCAGGGACATGCCTCCACTGATATGGTTCCGATCGGCTTCTGATCTCGGCTACTCTGTTTGCGACGAAGGTCTGGAACCGTCGAGCCTCATTGTTGATATAGCCGAGAACTACTTCACTGTCGGTCCAGTAGAACGTCTGGTTCACTTGAATCGTGAGGGCCGACTGTATGCTGTCATGCAGTCGTGCGACCAAAACCGCGCCCTGCAGCTCTAACCGCACAATGGTCAGCATTTTCAGCGGTGCCACTCTTGTCCGACTCATCACCAGCGAGCAGGCGATTGTGCCGGTCGAGTCGATCTGCCTGAGGTAGCCGACGGCACCGAATGCCGCTTCCGACGCGTCGCTGAAGATATGGAGCTCTCTTCGAACGACTTCACTCTCCGGCGTAGCAAAACAGCGGGGGATCCTCAGTCGGGAGAGCTGCTCAGCTTCCATCTTCCATGCCGTCCATCGATGTGTATCGTTTTCATTCAGCTCAGAGTCCCATGACAGCTGCTGTTTCCAGACATCTTGCATGAGAAGTTTCGCTCGAAGGGTGAACGGTGCGACCAGGCCGAGTGGGTCAAAGATCGATGCCGTGGTGGCTAGAACTCCGCGTTTGGTAGGCGGGGCAGTGCGTTTTTCTGGTCGATGAACACCGATCATGTCTGTCTCTGGATCCCAGGCTATACCAAGGACACGCTCGGACGGCAGCGGCGTGGACATATCTGTTTTGGCATGAGCCCTGTCTTCAGGTGCTACTGACTCCATCACCTCTCGTGAATTGCTGACCCACTTCCGAAGCTTGAATCCACCTTCAGCGACCAGTTTGACGACAGTATGGAGCATCACTTTAGCCGTCTCCACGGAGTTCTCTGATGTAACGAAATCGTCCATATAGAACTGTCTTGCCACTGCAGCGGCCTCATCACGAGAGAGCGTAAGCTCAGAGCCGTTCTTGATGACTAGTTGCAGTGCAAAACTGGCGATTGCTGGTGAGCATTTGGCTCCGAATATCGCTTTGTTCATTTCATACGTGTCAGGAGGTCTGTTCCGCTCCATGTCCCTCCACAAGAAGCTGAGGGCTGGTCGGTCACGCTGTAGAATTTGCACCTGGTGGAACATCTGGTCGATGTCTCCTGCGATTGCGACTGGCCGCTCACGAAACCGAATGAGCAGCCCAGGTAGGTCCTGCAGGAGATCGGGTCCAGTCAACAGGTGGTCGTTCAGGGACGTGCCACTGAACTTGGCGGCCGCGTCGAATACGACCCGTATTTTGTCCGGCTTGTTTGGATTGCGAACCGCATGATGCGGCAGGTACCAGCGTTTTGAGCTCGGTTTCAACACTTCCGATTCTTCGAGCTTTCGGGCGTGACCGAGTTGCACGTAGCTTTCGATAGTTTCTTGGTATTTCTTTCTTGTCTCTGGACTTCTATGGAGAGATTTCTCGGTTCGCTCGAGTCGACGGAGCGCACCGAGACGGTTATCCGGCAGCGAGACGTCATCGTCTTTCCACAGCAGTGGGGCTTCAAGACGCCCGTCCACCAGCTCGACCGTTTCTTCAAGGATTTTCAGAGCTCTTTGGTCTTCATGCGATGTAGGCTTCACCTTGGAGTGTGTTGTTCCAAAAGTCTCCATGTCCCACCACTTCTGAACCAGGTTGGTCAGATCGAGGTCCTGTGCTGGGCTCCGATGAACATGCATCACGTGATGTTCTGACGATGGAACGAGGTTTGTTATTGTTCCGGTCAAAGCCCATCCAAAGTTCGTCTTTATGGCCACAGGCTGGCCAGGCTCTCCGATTCGAACCTCGCGCTGGATGATTCCTTCGATAATGTTTGCTCCAAGAAGGACCTCCACCTGCTCTGGCCTCGGAAGCGCGACGTCAAGCCCCTCCACATGACGCCACTGCGAACGTGCTGAGCTGCTGATGTATGGCACGGGAATATTCAGCCTCGGTACTGTCCACACTTCATTTGCCATGACTTCTGTTTCTTCCGATTCCCGAGCCAGGGGGGTGATTTTCATGGACGTTCTCAGAGCGATTCTCTGTGGCCCGGCTCCTTCGATACTGTTAAGACGGAGCGACTCCGATTCACCCGTCAGTTTGAGCCTTTTCGCCAGATTTTCCGTGCACAGCGAGGTCTGTGCACCGGAATCGAGAGCGGCGAATGTGTCGATGTAGCTGTGTTCGCCATGTACACGCACAGGTACTATTTGTAGCAGTGTCGTCCCTCCGAGACCTGAGGCTGCTGCCACTGTTCTGTTTGAACGTTCCTCAGTGCCGGCTGCACGAGAGAAGATTCTTTCGCTGCCGTGGAGCAGGTGATGGTGCCTTCCCTGGCACCTGTTCTCTCCGCATTTTTGCGTGGATCGGCACTGTCGAGACCGATGATCGGGCTGAAGACAGAGGAAGCAGCGCCCGCTTTCAGCGACAAACTTAGCGCGGTCATTTGGCGATTTTTGCAGGAAGGACGGACAAACGGCGAGATCGTGTCGCTCCCCACAGCAGCAGGGCTGCTCGTTGTGACTGACTTGCTGTCGACGTGTTGCGCTCTTGTCGCTGACCTCAGGAGTCGTCGTTACAGCAACCGATGTCGAGTGAGTGCGGGGCGCGCGCCTGAAGTCAGAACTGGGGCGTGCCATGTTGCGATCTTGCGGCTGAGCAGGAACGGCCATTGCGATTCGAACTTGCAGTCCCAGCCAGCTATCAAAGTGTGTCATGTTTGGGCGCTCCGGCTCCATTTTGATGACCTCACGTCCCCACTCTCTTTTCAAGTCATTCGGAAGTTTGAAAATGATGCGACGTAGGTTCTCAGTACTGTTAAGGTCTCCGTGGAAACCCATGGCGTTCAGCACTGTGACCGCGGAGCGAACGGCGGCGTGTAGCTTTTCCAGCATGACCGGGTCCACATTTTTCATTGGAGACGTGTTGAAGACGGCACTGAGGCTTGCGCTCACGATATCGTCTTTTCTCCCGAATCGTTTCATCAGAGCTTGTAGAGCGGAAGGATACAGCGCTGCATCGAACATCATTCCTTCAACAGCCTGCTTAGCCAGACCAGTTACGGATGCCTGGAGATGGGCGAGTTTTTCAGCGTCCGATAGGCCTGGCTGGTCGTGGATGAGCGATTTAAAAAGGCCAATCCACTGGGGCCACTCAGTGGCCTTACCGCTAAACTTTGGGAGCTGAATCTGCGGGACACTCCGATAGCCCGAGTGACAATTTCTCGGCGGTTCTATGTCTTGTGGCCTGTTCGCAGCTTCCAATATCCATGATGTAGCTGTCTGACCCCGAGTCAGCTCCGGCGCCGGCCGATTACCAGTTTCCGTTTGAGACTTATCAGCCACAGGGGTGTCAGCTTCGATTGCAAGTCCTTCTTCTGCTGTTCCAACTCGTTCTTGTTCTTGAGAAGGTCCAGCGAGTTCGTTTTCGCCGTCAAAATCGTGCCGCCGTTCCCACTGAAGTTCATTTTCTGCTGCCTTACGCAGCTCCGCTTCTCTTGCTGCGAGATGTGCAGCATCTCTGGCTTCGGCGATTCGTGCCTCTCGATCTATCTCTCGTCTCTGCCTCTCTAAGTTCTCTTTCAGCTCGTCTCTTTTTCTTTCTTCTTCTATCCGTAGTTCGAGCTGACTGAGCTCCATTCGTTTCAGGGATGCTCCGATTTCGGCTTCCTTTGCGGCCGCAGATCGACTTGACCGACTGGAGACAGCAGACTGTGACTGAAGTTGTTTTGCTTGTTCCTGACTCTGACGACGCTAATTCCCCACGGGATCTTAAGTGTTCACGAATGCGTTCACAAATCTTCTGATGTGCTTCTTCGACGTCTGTCATGTATTCTTCGGTCTGATCCTTTTCACGGTCGTCATCTTTCAGGCTGTCCGTGTAGCTGTCATTCACTTCACTTACAGCGTCTAGAGCCTCATCAAGCTCTTTAAGTAAGCCTTCGATTTGGCTTCGGCTTCCCGATGTGTCGACCAAAGTATCAGCCCGTTTACACAGTCTTGTAAACTGAGCCTTCTTTCGACTTCTCAGTTTTCTTAACGAAGCACTATCCATTGTCGGAAAAACAATTACAAAAACAGACTGTGCAAAAGGCTTACGTTACAGCTCAAGAAGGGCATGCCTCATGCTCATTACGTTAAACGTCAGAGACATGCAAAATCGAGCGCAAGTATTTCACGATATCGAACGTTAAGCGATTCGGCCCGGAGGACCAAAAAATGTCGCGAATTACTTTGACATTTCCGATGATACGAACGAGTACGTTACGTTAGATCGTTTAAATCGATGTGTCAAAACGAGCGAATCGAAACGTATTTACCGGATCACTTCATAATGTATTCACACTCGCCAAATTCTATCGACCTCATTTTCGAAACTATCATTTCTACGCACATTCGTTGACCTCGGCACGTGACCTATAACAAATTCTGGCATAGGCTCGTGCGCCCATTTTCGGGGAGCCACAGAGTCGGCGACAGACTAATAATGGGGAGGTCGCAAAATTGACCTGACCTTAGGTCACCGATATCAAAATTCTGAGATATACATTTTGTACGTGCCTTTGCTCTTAGCAATCTCTGAAAGTTTCAAAGCGATCGGTCACTCGGTGTAGCTATGACAGACATTGAAATTTTTATGAGGTGAGGTCACTTCAAGTGACCTGGTGACCTGACCTTGAATGACCTTGGTCTGAAATTTTCACAACATGTATAGAATTGATGTTGATAAGGTGTACCAAAAACGGCAACGCTTTTTCGCTACACCTTGGTTAAAAAACGAGATGTCGATCTGAAATTTTGTAAGTAGAAAGAAGACAGCTGGAACTATCACATATATTCCGTTTTTTTCGAAATTCAAAAAAAAAACTTTTTGGGGATTTTTTGGCTAATATATAAAAAACATATTTTTGGGGGTTAAAACTCAAAATTCAAAAAATCGGAGATAGCAGATTTGTAGCCCTGTCAATTCTACACCTTTTATGTTATAATCGTTTTTTCTGTATCTTCAAAGCTGTAGGCCTGACAGCTCTTCTCGCGAAGATCTTTTTTTGGTCGAAAATGGCAGAACATGACGTCATTCTGACGTCATTTGTGGCCAATCTATCATAGCCTCTGGGAAATAAGTTTTGGTCACAATGTGTAGAATTGATGCTCGGAGGGACCCTGAAAGTTTGGTGGCGATATCTCCAGCCGTTTAGGAGATATCGACGGAAAAGGACAGAGGGGCCGAACGTTTCGACCCCCCTCCCTATGGGGCGCGGGTTAAATTGGTAACAAAGTATATCATTCGATGCGCACGGACGTCCTGACTTCACTGGTGCTTTTATTTTTGCTCTATCTTTACTAGGTAAAAAGTTATAGACGAAAAACCTTTGATATGTTTAAGCAAAATTTTTGCATTCATATCCCCCAAAACCCCCATAAATGTTGACTTAGTCACGTCACCAAAATTTCATAGGGGCGAGGTCTCTAGATCTACTCCTATGGACCCACCTACCTTGTAAATTTAGCGTTTAGCGTTAATTTAGCGTTAGCGTAAGTGCCATAGGAACCAATCGTCGGGGGGGGGTCTTACCAACCCCCGTCGCCGTCTGTGTTATGGAAAAGGCCCTCGCCTGGCGAGGGTTAACCTTCCATGCTGTGGGGGGGGGGGGGCATTTTTTGCCCCCTTTAGTTTTTTTCGATATATCTCCAGAACCGCTGCGCCGATCGTCACTAAACTTTCAGTACCCACCCGTGAATAGCTATTGCACATTGTGACAATTTTTTCCAAGGGCTATGATAGGTTGGACGTTAATGACGTCAGAGTGACGTCATTTCTGCCATTTTCGACCCCAAAAAAGGTTTCGCGAGAAGAGCTGTCAGGCCTACAGCTTTAGAGACACAGAAAAATGTTTCCAAAATGAAAGGTGTAAAATTTTAAGTGCTACAAAACCGCTATCTCGGATTTTTGCAATTTTTTTTATTTTGACCCCCCCCCAAAAAAAATGATTTTTTGAATATAATAGCCGAAAAATCCAAAAACAAATTTTGAACTTCGAAAAAAAACGGAAGATATGTGATAGTACCTACCGCCTTCTATCTACATACCAAATTTGAGATCGATACCTCTTTTTTTGGCCAAGTTATAGCGAAAAAATGTTAAAAATTTATTACGTCAAATTTTCACTCAATTTTTAGGAATTCAAGACCTCGTAGCGCAAAATAAAGACCACCATTAGACTCCTTGTGGCCGTTTTCACGACGGAACTTTCGCAGAGGAACTTATTTAATACCTAAAAAGTACCTACCCTTTGAGGCCTTAACATCCCTCAAACTGAAATATTTTATGTTCAAAATAATTTTAGAAGTTTAAATCCGGGCATTTTTTGCCCTCAAATCACTTATTTATTTACAAACACAGCAATTTTTGGTTCTAGTAGCCCACCTTTCGACTATGAGGTATCAAATCAGCGTGGCAACTTTACTCCCTCGGGTATCTAATTCCGGAATTCTTAAAAACAAGGAAAGTATATATCGAGCTTTCTTTTATGCCTATTGAGTTATGTTTTAATGGTGATTAAAATATGGCAAATTTTTTAATTACATTTCACATAAGAAAAACACGCAAAACAATGAAACAAAAATAACTACGGTGGAAATAACCAATCAGCACCTCAGTAGGATATGACGTCATACAAGAATGGTGTTGAAGGCCG